TGTGTGTGTCAAGTCTCCTTAGACTTTTTAAGTTACTCATGTTACAAGATTTCTGTCAATGACTCCCAAACTAGTTAGCTTTAGGGCATTAAGTGAAGAGGCACCCCTAAGAATATACCTACTCAAGTAACAAAGGCCATGAAACATTCAATTTTTTTTTTTTTTCAAGAGATGCTCAATTTGTCACATTTCATATGAATGATGATGCTTGAACTAGGCACCACCGCTCAATTACTTCATGGTTTATTGAACATTCTTTTATTTATTTCTTTTCTTTTTCAATTTTTCAATTTTTCTTTGTCTTCACTTTTTTTTTTTTTTTTGTGCTTTTTAGGTGCTACGAAGTCTTCTTTCTAAACTTCTCACTGTAAACTTGTGCTCAAGAAGAATAGAATATTCATGAACTTAATCAAAATGATGCTATTTTTTAGATTGATAATTCATGTAAGTGTCTTTGACAACTTTATTTATAATTAAACTTGCAAAAACAAAATAAAGGAAACAAAAAAAAAAAATTAAAGTAAAGAAATAAAAGAAAAGAAAATGTTTAAATTAAATCTAAAATTAATCAGTTTTGATATTAATTAAATTCAAAAATACTTGACAATAGCGTCAAAACCTTGATGTGCTAAAATCACTTTAGTTAGTATACTAATCACTTCAAGTAGTATAACGATGAGAAAAGTATCGAACTTACAAGAATTGTGATTAATTAAGTATTAAAAATAATTAATCTATATTTATTTGAACATTCGAAAAGAAGACACTTTAATTAAAAATAATAAGAAGAAAATAACAATTAACATAAAGTTAATTAAGCTATGAGGTATTAAAGCATCGACTTCACCATAACTACTCAACATAAAATTTAAATTATTATACTTTCAAGATATTACTACTCACGTGAAAGTTGGATTTTCTATCTTATTCGATATACATTTTCAAGTTATACCAAATCTATTTTTACATATTAACCCACTATATCCCTATGTGAATTTAAATAAATAAAGATGTTTTATATTTTGTGAAGTTCCCTAGTTTACGGGGAAAATTAAGTTCACTTATCACTAATACTACACGAATCACGTTGATAGATCTTTGGTTTTTGTTTAATTCATGGTATATATCATTAAAAGCTATTGTATAAAATTCTTCTCAATCTCAATTATGCTCTACATACCAATTTTAATGGTAATCAAGTATTAAAAAGCAATAAAAACAATAATATATACTCATTATGAAATACCAATGTCAAAAGCATACAAATTACAAAAACCTATGTTGAATTGATTAGGCTATATTGTAACCCTAGTTGGTTAAATCGATTCATAATAAAAGTAATAAAACTTGAAATCATAGTTGTGAATATAAAAATATCAGACAATAGATAAAAATAATTTAAAGAAAAATAAAACTTAATTTAAGGAAGTTGAAATATTTGATTTTCTCTTATTGATAAATCATTTATCTTGATCTCTTAGAGTGCCCAAAAGAGAGCTGCCACTAGCCTCAAAAAGCTCTTTAGTTTGAACTTTGATGAATATTTATAAGATTATAGAAAATGTAATTAGAATAGACATGAGACCCACGCCAAAATAATAATTATAGGGATGGACTTGTTGAAAATTGCGTAAGTGGTCAACACCCTAAAGAAAGTACCGACACCTTTGCTATAACAAGAGTCTAGGTTAGGATTTTGGCCTTTAAAGAATTTTGGTTAATGGTAAAATGATAGTTTTCGTCTCTAACTTCTCTATTCCACACAACTTAATCCTCAACTTTCTAAGGTCTGTAATTGGGTGCTAAAAGTTATTATTTTTTCCAAATAAGTCATTTTCTAAACAAATAATAAAAATCATATAAAATCAAATAAAATCTTATAAAACTCATCCAAAAATCAATAATATCAAGTCCAAAACTCCATGTTAATATGTATATAGATTCAGTTCATCAATACTAATCAAGACACTTGCCAACACATCTTAACATCATTGAAAAGTTGTTGCCATAATCCCTTCACAATATCATAGCACTTAACTGGTTATTGCTATTTCATTTTTATCTCAAGAATTTTCCAAACATCTACAAACCCACAAAAACTAGATATCAACTTGTAGTAAACTTTCACCTAATTGCTTTTTGACATTGTTACTAATTAACAACTATGCTATATTGCTTTCTTCATTTTTTTTTTTTGTTTCATGTAGGCATCTACTGAATATGAATCTTTCAGGAACTTTATCACCAGCACTTGGCCGCTTGTCTCATTTGTCGATATTGTGAGGCTATGTATATTATGAAAGCTACCTTTATTTCAATCCTTCTTGGAAGATTTATAATTTTTCACCTAATGATGGTTTATCATTTGTTTTCATTGTAAAAGGGATTTTATGTGGAACAACATGAGTGGGAGTATACCAAAAGAGATTGGCAATATCAAAACCTTGAAGCTCTTGTAAGTTAAATTTATTTAACAATGATTTTATAGCTCATTTCTAATCTAATTATCAATATTGTAATACTGCATATCTTATTTGCTCATTTAGAAGTGGTATGGATCTATTTTGTAGGCTCTTGACCGGGAACCAATTAACAGGTTCCTTGCCTGATGAGCTTGGTTATCTGCCGAATCTACAAATATTTCAAATTGATGAGAATAACATATCTGGACCAATACCTACATCATTTGCAAACTTAAATGAAACAAATCATCTGTAAGGGCATTTTTGAAATCACCACTACTAGTGTCCCTTGTTATTTTCACTTTGTCTTCCTTCTTATATTTTCAATCTATTCCTTATCTTCTTTCTCCTTTTGAGCAGTCACATGAATAATAATTCAATTAGTGGACAAATCCCTCCAGAGCTCTCCAAACTACGAAACCTTGTACACTTGTAAGTTTATCACAGGTTAATTTCTCCTATTTTAGTCATCATATATCTGTAGCATTAACTTATATGTGATTTTGTGCAACTCAGCTTCCTTCTAAGGCTCCATTCATTTTTTTTTTTTTGCTTATGTAGCCTTCTTGACAACAACAATTTATCAGGGTACCTTCCAGAAGAGCTCGCCCAAATGCCAAATTTAACTGTCCTGTATGTTTTCTTACTTTCTTGGAAATATTTTGATATAGATTCATGCTTCTAAGTAATTTATTGTGATTGTTGTGGGATAGCTAAATGAAAATGTAAAATGAGAGTGAGAGCTATATAATGTACCTTGTTAGTTATTCAACACAAGGAGGAGGAAAGTAATAGGACGAAGCTGAGGTATTTATATATAAAAAGCAAACGTGAAGAACATTTTTTTTCTCATTAGTAAAGTCCATAGTTACATTTGTTTTGTATATTTTTCTTCTATTGATCATTCTTTTCTTGAGTATATATATCTTTATAATTTTAAATGGAAATGCTTTTACATTTCAGATTTCAATTGATAATCTATTTGATTTCCTTAATAGCTTCCATTTCTACCTTTTGCAGTCAACTTGACAATAACAACTTTGATGGGGCTACTATTCCTAGATCATTTGGAAACATACCTACATTATTGAAGTTGTAAGTGCTTACTGAAACCCTATCTTGGCATTAAATAGATTTAGAAGGTAGAGATGAGAAGACATGTGCTACCATCTTATTAATATATTTATACGAGATACATATCAAACAAACATTTGAAATTTCTATAAAGCAATATTTACATAGTTGCACCAATACAAGCAAACAGTGGTTAAAAATCATAAGTAATAGAACATGAAACAATGAAATTTCTCTAAAGCTATATTTACATGAAAGAGATACTGATATAACTTAGAAGGATAATTTTTAGAGTGATATTAGGTTTTGCTTACATAACTAGGATGAAATGACAATATCATAAACATGAAATACCTTAAATAATGTATTACTAAAGTAATAAATTTCATATAGCTGTCTCTAATAATTTTAAGATGGATTGAAAATGACTATTAGGGAGCATTTGCAGACTTGAAGGTCTGTGGAATTTTGTGATGCTAAACATTTTTGTTGGTTAAATTATCAGGAGCCTTAGGAACTGCAAGTTGCAAGGATCAATCCCTGACCTAAGCGAAATACCTAACCTTGGTTATCTGTAAGTTCATGTGTTTGTTTCTCATGATGGAATAACTTTCCTATTAGAGAATTAAATGTAACTCTTATTTCCATTTCTCTTATATAAATTTCAGGGAACTGAGCTCAAACCAACTAAGTGGACCCATACCTACAAATAAGCTCTCTGAGAATATCACAACCATGTAAGATTCTCTCATTAGCAATGTACACATTTTTGTTGATTTGCTTGCTTTAAGATTTTGAAATACTCACTTTAGATTACAATACCTTTGTGTAATTCCATTATTTTTGACATTTTGTTGTTTGGAAATATATATAGTAATTTATCCAACAATAATCTTACTGGAAGCATTCCTGGCAACTTTTCTAGTCTACCTCGTCTCCAGCAACTGTAAGTATTTTCCACTTGGTCTCCACCAATTTGTTTCTTTCCTTTGTGAACACTAGGAATTAGGTTAGTAGCTAATGGCACTGTCAATATATTTAACTTGATTAAATGTATTTAAAGAGTTGGTTATTTTCCCTTGTAGGCTACTTGCAAATAATTCATTGAATGGCTCAATTTCATCCTCCCTTTGGCAAAATAGGACTCTAAATGCAATAGAGAGGCTTAAACTGTAAGTCTTCAAAAAATGATTTTCTTTGTTTAGAATTTTAACCCTACATCATAGTCACAGACTTTATTTGCCAAGTGAAAAGGTTGATCCAGATTTAGGAGCCTCATTTGTTCTCGCTTAAGATCAATAGTGTAATCATTTGTGATGTTCAATGATTGTTTTTGCTAATAATTAGTGCTCTGTGGTGCTTTACATTAATTGTTCAGGGATTTGGAGAACAATTTGCTTGTCAATATTTCTGGAAGTTCTGACCTCCCTCCAAATGCCACTCTTTGGTTTGATCCTACATGCCATTTCCTTTGATTTTACTTTAATTAAGTATCTATTAATGTGATTAATTTCACTTTGCTTTTATATCCTATTACTTTACCTATAATACAATATAATGTACACTTACACCTTCAACAAGCTTATTAGTTTTATACATTTTGTATATATATATATATATAAAGAAAAGAAAGGTTCATATTCTAAAGTGAAGTTGAATATCTTCTTGTTTTTCAGGCTTAAAGGGAATCCTATATGCTCGAATGAAAGTTTGGTCCACTTTTGTAAATCTCAAGTTGAGAATGAAACTAGAATAAGCATTGCAACAAACTCCACCACCACTGAATGTAAACCACAATCATGTCCCTATGAGTATTCCCCAACATCTCTTTCAGATTGCTTTTGTGCTGAGCCTTTGCTAATAGGATTTCGGTTGAAAAGTCCTGGTTTTTCAGATTTTATTCCATATAAAAAAATGTTTGAAGGGAACCTGACTCAATGTCTCAACTTGTTTGTTTATCAACTCTATATCTCTTCATTTGCATGGCAAGAAGGACCACGACTGGGAATGTACTTAAAGCTCTATCCTATTTATGATAACACTACCAACAATCATTTGTTCAATCAAAGTGAGGTTCAACGAATCAAGAGCATGTTCACTGGAGTTAATATCCCTCTTAATGGCTTATTTGGATGTTATCAACTTATAAACTTCATTTTGCCGGATGCTTATAAGGATGGTTTGCTCCACAACTTCATCTCTTTCCCTAAGAATATTTGTCCATAACTTTCATTTTTTTTATTAAAACATTCTTAAAGTATCATATAATCTTGTAGAATCTAGCCCTTCTTTATCAACAAGCATAAGTAAAGGTGCATTGGCTGGCATTACACTGGGGACCTTTGTTGGTGCAGCTACATTAACTGCAATCATTTCACTTATTATATTTAGGAGGCACCTGAAGGGCTACCATGCAGTTTTGAAACGATGTCAGGGTGAGTATCTTAAAACTTCTGATGATAGGATGTCCAAGTACATTGTATATATTATTATATGTCTGTGTACTACTTTCTAGATTGATTGTCTATCAAAAAAAATTTTCTTTTCAGATATTACGTATGGTATTATTTTTCCACATATATAAATCTTGATGCTCTTATGATTTTTTTTCATTAATTACAAGGACGCTTTACCAGTTTCATTTTCATTTATCCAACAGAACAATGAATGGAATTGCATTTTATTTAGCTCGTTGTTACTTAAATATTGAGGAAGAAGTCATGTTTTTTTTTTTACCTCTATTCAGTTATTCATCTTCCTTTAGATTCATTTTGGATTTGAGTTATTGTAAAACACTTCCTTTTGTCTACATATATCTTATTCATCTCTTAGAAATTTTCAAGAAATGAAAAAAAAAAGGGATCATTCTTTTAATAGCACTTAGTTTTATTCAAACATTTAAAGACGTATTTTCTTATACAGCCTCTAGATCCTTGTTAAAAATTGATGCTGTCAAGAGTTTCACATATGGAGAGCTAGCTTTGGCAACACACAATTTTGATATCTTCACTCAAATTGGCCAAGGTGGATACGGAAAGGTTTATAAAGGCACTTTGGCTGATGGCACAATTGTGGCTATAAAGTGTGCACAAGAGGGGTCATTACAGGGTGAAAAGGAGTTCCTAACTGAAATAAAATTGTTATCAAGGTTACATCATCGAAACCTTGTTTCTTTGGTTGGTTATTGTGATGAAGAAGGTGAACAGGTACTTTATCTCATGTCTTTTAAAATTTTTTATTGATATCGTACTGTATTTTTTCCCTAGCCATAAATGGTTTGAGAAATAAATGTATGGAGGGACAAAAGATGTAAATTTAATGTTTTATTAGCCTAATTATGGTAAAATATTGGAGAGATGAACCATCACTAAGGAAGTAATTTGATTAACCAAGTTGGTAAATGGATAGAATTTCATGACTACTATCATTTGTTAATTAAAGTTTATTATCACATACGGTTGTTACTGTCAACAGATGTTGGTGTATGAATTTATGTCTAATGGCACTCTACGGGATCATCTTTCAGGTAAACCTTTGAGTTTAAGAAATGCAAAATAACAACCTTTAATTCTATATGCAAATATTGTAATCCTTAGTATAATGTTTTATGTATATGGTACTGCATTCAGGAAAGATTAAAGAACCTCTGAGTTTTGCAAAGAGGTTGAGAATAGCTCTTAGTTCATCTAAGGGAATCCTCTACCTACACACAGAAGCTAATCCTCCTATATTTCATCGAGATATCAAAGCCAGTAACATATTATTGGATTCTAAATTTGTCGCAAAGGTTGCTGATTTTGGACTTTCACGACTTACTTCAATGCCTGATATTGAAGGTGCAACACCTGCTCATGTGTCTACTGTTGTAAAGGGGACTCCAGTAAGTGTTTTAATTGAATGAAATAAAATTAGAAGCTTCTTTATAGATATAATACATATATATATGGAAAAGTGTTTTATATGTCATTCTCCCAAATTTTCTTTGGAAGATATACTTAAAAACTCCTTTTGTAATTAATATTTTGAAAAATCAACCGTTGGATTGAAAGTTCTATTCATATAGATCTTGCATGTCAATTTTTAAATTGTTGTAATAGCCCTAAGTAATTTGTTAATTACACAAAATTTAATACGATTGAATTTATGTTAATAAATAAAGTTTCTTTTATCAAAGGGTTATAAATATTAGATTAATATAAAAATTGACATGCATAATCTACATGAATAGAACTTTCAATCCAATGGTCAATTTTTAAAAATATTAATTAAAATGTGGGTTTTTTTAATAGATTCTCCAAAAAAAAAAAAAAAATTGGGAGGATGACATGCCTTACACTATCCTCTCTCTCTCTATATATATATAAATCGTTGGATGCTAATTTTGATCCCTCAACTTTTTAGAGTTGCACTTTTTTGGTCCTTAAGCTATTTTTTGCACTTTTTTTTATTCTTCAACTCTAGAAATTGCACAATTTCGGTCCTTTCGTCAGTTAAGTATGATGCGGCTGTCAAATGATTTCATAACCGCATTTTCTTTTAATTTTTTGATGATGTGGCAATGACATGTCTTACGATTTAGGTTACATGGATAAATAAAAACACCACGTCAGATAAATATTAATATTTTTAATAAAAAAAAAGGAAACCTCTTGAATCATCTTCTTCCCCTTCTTCCTTTGTCTTTCTTCCTCCTGCTTGCTGTTGGGTTCAATACCGAACCCAATAGAGCTGGGATCCATCAAACCCAGATCTGCTCTAGATTTTGTTGAACCCAAATTTGCTCCAAGGTTCGCTAGAACCTAGCTGTGCTAGGTTTGACGGAACCTAGAGCAGACTTGGCTGAATCCAGCTCCATTGATATGAAGAAACAAAAAAAAAAAAAAAACCAATAAGCTAAGGTTCCACGAACCAAATATAGACTTTGTGGAAGAAGACAGGCAACGAATAGGCAACTAGATCTGGGTTCGTTCAAACTCCAGATTGCTAGGTTTCGAGAGAACTATATTTGGGTTTGTTGAACCCCAAATTGTTGGGTTTTGAAAGAACTAGATCTAGGTTCGTTTGAACCCTGGATTGTTGGGTTTTGAGAGAGCTAAATTTGG